TTTTTTTGGGAAAATTTATTTATTTAGTATTTTTATATAATAACTCTATTTTTCAAATAATAAGTATGTTTTCATTTTTAACATATAATTATGTGTAAAATAAAATATATAAATCGTCTAAGGTAGATGAAATATATTATTTTTAGTTTTTATTAATTTTTTTGGAAAAATTAAATCCTAAATAAAGTATTCAATGTGCAATGTTGTTAAACTAGACATAGATACACCTCCATATCAGTATGTATTARACCGTATCCATCGATACAATACGATACAGCCCGATACGGAGGTATATCRTACTAATATGTACGACTCGTAGGATACATATATATCCAGTCATAGCATATCATATATCTATGATCATGGATACGAATATTGATACCTTAATCCTTGTTTACAACATATACAATAGTAATGATTGTAACCTTCCAGAGTAACCACCTCATTACACTAATGATGGTCCTGCTGGGATAAGTTTCTCCAATTAATCTCAATTCTCAGTTCTCAAATCCAGGTATTCTTGTAAATGAAGGAGAGGGGAGCGCACAAGAGGACAAAGAGACAAAACGGAAACAGTAGAGCTTGAATAACTTGCCTCTTCAATGAATCAACGTTATTGCATCTGCCTTGCATTCTACATGAACCAAACTCAAATCAGTGATCAAGTCATTCAAAAGATCTTAAAAWCTTGGATAGTTTCTATGAGAAATTCCTAACTTTCATGACTTCAAAAGATCTGAAAAACTTGGATAGTTTCTACGAAACAGATTCCTGATTTTCATGACTTGGTTCTGCATCATCATTTCTGTTGTCATCGTCATCWTCATCATCTTCTACCACCAGATGACTACCATATTTCTTCAATTCAAGGCCCTTAATAAATGGTGGATTACGCACTTCTACCAGTATCCTATCACCATATTCTATAAAAGRAAGTAGAGGATAGAGTTAGATAATTGTCAGAAACATTATGGGATAGAGTTTTTTTTTTTTTTATGAATTTGGTTTTATTTTGAAAAATTTGAGGAATAGTAGAGGGCAAATTTGACATTTCTTTTCTTTTCGTTAATATTTAATGGCGATGTCAATTTTTAGAAATAGTAGTGGTACTTTAAAACAATATGTAAACAGTAAGGGTAGAGTTAATCGATTAGCTAGACCATAAGGGTAGTTTAAGAAATTTGCCCTAAAATAAAAGCTTCCTGCTTTGGATATGTCTACATAGGGGTGGCCACGAGCCGAGCTCTTCACGAGGTATTCGAACTCGGTTCAGCTCGGCTTGTGAGGCTCGCGAGCCGACTCGAATAGCTATATAATAATAATAATAATAATAATAATAATAATAATAATAATAATAATAATAATAATAATAATATACATATACATATAATTTTATATATGTATAAGTTAAAAAAATAGTTAACTTTTTATTTTTTCTTTATTTTATGAATAATGGGTTAAATCTGAATCCGACCCATTTACCGCCCGAGATAGTGCAAAGTGAAATTTAGTACAAAGAAAACCTTGTATGTACCTTTAACTTAGATGGTGATTGTATGATTGTATCCGTATGATGTTCCTATTATGACATGGAAAATTATTTAAAATATACATTTTTTCATTTAGGGTTTTTAACTTTTTATTACTAAATGTTTTAAGCAATGTTTTTAAAACTGATCYGGAGGTCGACCTGGTTTTCCCACTGGGTCGTGGGCCATCGGTTCGACCAGGCGGGTTGAATGGTTCAGTCYGATGATGTCATAATTAAAATATTAAAACTCATATRTTATATAYCTGTGATGTTGTGCCATCCACTGYTCGCTGACGAGCCTGKGATAGTTGATACATAGTCGCCGCTCTGAACTCTGATTATGGAGGTTTGATAGTTGATACAGTCGCCGCTCGCCGGCGAGAAACAAAGCTGTGAAGCCTATRATGTTGTGTCGCCTAAACTAGTGTCACCCAAAGCCCCAAACTCGGTGGTTTGGTGTTGCCCAAACAGAGAAGAATAGCTGATAGCATCACCCAAACTCSGCGGTTCTGCCGATCTTCTTTAGCCGTCCGTCCTCTTCGTGTGTTCATCCTCTGGTGTTCTAAATCTTGCATAAACCCTAGATCTAGAACAGAGAAAGTGATGGAAAATGTAAAAAGAGAAGGGGGGCTCGAGTTGGGACTTTTGGGGGATTTTACAAATTTTTAAACCCAAAAAGTGTACAAAGAGAAGAGGGTCGACAATCAAACCGTTGCCTGCTTATCGGGTCGCTGGTTTGATGGTTCAACCGTTTGAGTCGTCCGGTTCACTAACTTATCAACGGTTTTTACAAAAATATCAGATTTTATGAGAACCAGACCCAAAAAATCGATCAAGTCACGGTTCAAACGGTTTGGCCGTCTGGGTCAACGGTGGATTAAAAACCTTGGTTTTAAGTGGGGGAGGCTGAAGCGCCTTTCGTAGGTCCAAGGTCAATGGTCAATGATCATTTGCGTCAATGGGTCTGGGTCAACCGGTGATGTTATAACCTGTTAAATGGGTGAGACGGATCAATGGTTCAACGATCCAGATTGATGGGTCGATGACCAATTCAATGTTTTTTTCTAATATGACGGGTTAGAGGTTGACCCGGCTTGAATTTTGACCAGACGACCAGTCCAACCAATATGCTAGAGGTTGACAAATTTTAAAAAATTTGGGATATATTTTATTATTTAACAGATCATACACACATTAATATAATTAAAACCCAAATTATTTCTTAATTTTCATATTTGTAAATAGAAAAAACATATAAAAAAATTATGTAGGGCCTTAATCTGATAAGTTGGCTCATATCATGAGGACCACTTGATTGGAATAAGTGTAATTAGTGGGTCCCTCTGCTCTCATGGTGTTGCTATCTCCATAAAATTAAACCAAGATTCTGAGAGTGGTCTCACAAAGGTGGAGACATTAATGGTGATTCATTGAAGCATTATCAACCTTGGACTTTGACTCTACAAACTTGATTCTTGACCATTTCTATTCACAAGTGTTGAGAAAGATGCAGACAGATTCTGTGTTGGGCTGTAGACTAATTTGAACAAGATTGAATAAATCAGCAAAACCCTTCCTACACGAGACT